ACATTTTGATAAAACTTTGTAGGGTCCAGAGTGGGGTCATGTTAAAGTTTGGGCTACATCCATCCAGGTCTTCAAGGTCAACTTAATGATTTATTGGTTGAAAATTGACAAAAAACCTCATAACTTAGAAACCACAATGTGAAAGAGTGCATTGTCAAAAACGACCATATTTCAAATATTATGTCATATTTGACCTGTGACCTCTCCTTCAAGGTCAACAGAGTAATAACCATCAAGTGAACCACACATTTAAACTCATTATACAATAAAATGAATGGTGCATGTTTCATATCCACATAAATACAAAATACTTATACTCAAAGTTCTGTCATTTATATTAACATAGATTTTAACAAGGCAAACAAAAGCCTGCACTTTGCACTTGTTTTTACTGCACTATAAACTAAGGTTTAAAAAGAACAAAGAAAACAAATGGATACATACAAAATACAATAATATTCCTTTAAAAGTAAATATCGTCCAAAGAGTGAGCTGCTTCGGTGGAGGTTCGAGTGCATTTTCAGCCCACTGGAAGACGGATTCATTTGTCAACTAAAATATTAACATTCAACATACACAGACTGGTATTCAGCCATCATAATGATCAAAACTATAAGTGCAATAAACCAGTTTTAAATGAAATAATGTGGACAGTGAATGAAAATATCGTCTATGGTTAAGTTTTAATAAAGTAAAAAAGCAGGCACTGAGACAGAATCAGATAAAAATGGATGTGAACAGATCAATAAACAGACCAATAGAAATAGAGCCGCTCTCCTAGGAGCTGGCACAGGGAAGCAGCTTGGTGCTTCACATTCCTGCCCAGCCATTCTTCCCCACTACCATGTCACTCTGTAAAACGGTAAGGCAGCTGTTGGCTTCCATCAACTCAAAGTGCATCTCTGAACTTATCCAGCCCAACACCTGCCCATCCTCTCACACTCTCATACACAAACTGCTGACGCACACACATATGTGATGAAATCTGTGCACAAGCTAGATCACAACAGTCTTATGAGAACTTACATGTGAGAGAAATGGTGAGTTGTTCTTGTTGAACTGAAGTAAAAATCACTCCTTGCGATGCAGAGTGGGCATCAGTGCAAAGTTATCTTCTAGACAATGTATGCTTGGTGCACAGTAAATGATGGCTAACTAACTGAACAGAAGAGCAACATAACGACTGAATGTCCGTGCTATTGTTCACTGATCATATACAAAACAAACTCTTTACATCTCAGCTGGACAAGGCACAAACTTTTTATTGCAGCATTTCAAAACGTGAATATTTACTCAGCAGTCGGACTGACTGGTAAACAGGCACATACTCCAGGTTTTTATGGGCAGTCTAGATGCTAGGCCCGACACTCAAATCCACTCTGCTCCCATTGGCTCATCTCGCTGAGGGTAAAGGCCTGGTTTCCAACTAGCTACTGCCAGCTTCAGCTTTCACTGCACTCTGAAGTCACACGTCATCAACAGTCCAATCAGGCTGGACTTGGGCACCAAAGACTTTCACACAGTCCAGGGGTGGTGATGGTTTCATCTTTCTCCCTTGCCACCCCCCTCATTCCTCC